TATCTTAAACAAGCAGAATCAGATGATGTCTACAGCAGCACGCACATGGGACTTCTATACAAAAGTAGTTGGGATCTTTAGGAGAAGCACCTCAAACTTTAAAAGAAAAACCACATTGTTTACAAAGAATACAAGTTACATATAACGACCACCTTTTAGGCCCCTTTCACACGCTCGGTCTGATCGGTTCTGCCTGACAGGTTTTTCAAGTGGACCTGATCGGATTCCCAATGTAAGTCTATGGGCAGCTGTGTGTAAATGGATGCGCATCCATTTACACCCGGTTACCCCTGAGTCCAGCTAGGTCTGGGAAAACAAATGAAACAGAGTTCCATTTCACTGGGCCGGATTGATGATAATCTGATGTAAATTAACACATGTTCGCTTACATCTGATTCCTTATAGACCAACATGGGGTCCGGTAATTTCAGTTTTGCGATGGAGGGGAAAAAAAAATATGGGCACGGATGTCACAGCGGTGCCATCTGCTCTGTGCTGCTGTGATCAGAAGTGGATCCGTGCAGCCTCTGGGAGGCTGTTAGTCTTGCAGTGCCTCATGGGACTTGTAGTTCCACAACTGCTAGAGTTGCCCACCCCTGTTCTAGGGCATGGCCTGTTCTGGATATGCAGGAATCCAGACCTGTGTAGGAACACATTCATGTGAAGCTACGTAGTAGAGCTATGCCTCATTCAGATCCTCATGGTGGCCGTGGAAAAACTCAATTTGAAAAATGTTCAATGTGGGTCTGCCCAGGGCTGTTAACAGTTGCCATCCCCACTTTGTGTATTGCCTTTGAAGGTTATGTAGGTGAGGGTATTTTGGGATACGGCTTGACATGTACCAGCAGAGCAGAGTTATACACTATATACCAGTGGTTCTCAACCTGTGTAACCTCAGGACCCGCATTTGTCCTTGGTCATTCAGTCGCGACCCAATCCCTCTGATGCCGTGTGGGTCGCTATGGCATGTAAGGGTGCTGGCTGTCACTGACACAGCTCAGCAGCGGCGTTTCCCCTCACAGCTGCTGCGGAGCTGTGTCAGTGACAGCCAGCAGCTACGGCAGTAGAGGCCAGCATTCTCAGTGAAGGAGGAGGCTGGGCCTGCTTTAGAGCAACCCCGCCTCCTCTTACATCACTGGCCAGTGGCCTGAGAGCAGGTGGGGCCTGTCGATAGAAGAGGAGGCGGGGCCTGGGATGGAAGAGGAGGCGGGGCCTGGTGACCACGAAGGCGGACAGCGCTGACGTGTAAGAGGTGTGCAGCACATCTGAGACCCTAGGAGCCCACTATAGAGAGTCTATGGTGAGCTCTGCAGTGTCACTCTCAGGTGGGCTGTTTAGTATATCAGGTGGGCTCTGCAAGTGGCATAACTAGCAATCACGGGGCCCCCATACAAAATTTTGTACTTTTTCTGCCCTAAAAATTGCTCAAAAAATATGTCCCCCAAAAAGCCCATTTATTTCTATGGCCCTGTTCTCATCTGAGCGTTTTGTCACAATAAGCAAAACGCTGACGTAAAAAGCAAAAACGCCTGTCGCTGGAAAAAGTACATGAGCTTTTTTTTGGCATATTACAGCTCATTCTGGCCCCATAGACTCAATAGAAAATGCTTGAAAATGTTTGCTCATTAACATCAATGAGCTTCACTCTGCTCACAAAAATGCGCAACCAGATTCATGCACATAAAACGCATGTGAAAACGTGCAAAAAGCACACGTAGAGACGCGTAAAAGCGCCGTTGCCTAGGTGTGAACCCAGCCTAAAGCTGGCCATACACCTAAAGATCTTCGATCGGAAATTTTTGTTGCTGCCAAGGACCCACATTCTATTCTAGCTGAAATACCCCATCAAGCACAGACCAATATACATTTCAATAATCCTTCGTTAATATAACTAACCGAATTTTGTCGATCGACCGAACAGATTTTCGTTTGCGCATGTGCAGTATTCTTGCTGCAATTTTTTCCGAACGAAAACGCCACTACATCAATTTTCGTTCGATTCGAGAAAAGTTAGTAAGTCAATTGAGTGGCTTCACACTGATGGTGCAAATCATTTTGGAGGCTTGCAGTAGGTGTAAATCTCTAAAATCTGGTTATCACAAGCACTAGTGGTGGGGTATAAACATCATGTGACCATCACTTCTCCCCCGGCTTCCTCCAATTTTCAGGAGAAGTTCTTCCCCTTCAGCTGCTAGTACTCTGTACTATCCTCTGTGCTGTACCCTGGCCTAGTAACAGTATGAATCCTTCATGCTATATGGTGATTGTTTGAATACTGGCATAAAATATCGGCTATTTAATAAAAGGAAATAGGATATGGATACTGGAGAGATGGCATGTTAATATGTTAGGCATAATGCACTCTGGTACAGAAGAAAAACTGTAATTTGACATTTATCAGGTATAAGCAAAAAATGGAAGAGTACCAATAGATATCAAAGGACAGTTGCCCAATCAGGCCATTTTCACATAGATGATGATGATCTCATGGGTATGAATGCGCTTCAAGTCTGACAGCCAGTCTCTGTTCAGGAGAACAATGCTTGAAATAGCTTTAAATACCTGTCCTGCAAGCTATTTTTCTCCCCTAAGCCACCACTCGGCTTTCTGCTCCATGCAACTCCCCTCTCACTTGACATTTCTTGTAACCTTGGGCAGTCTTTGCTTACAAGTTAGTAAACTGCGCCTGCATGACTGACACCTCTCTAAACTGGCATTTCTCAACCAGGATGCCATGGCATACTGGTGTGCCTCCCGGCCACCTCAGGGGTGTCTCAAAATGTTGTGGTAGTGAGACTGTGATGTGAAAGGGCAATGAAGGCTGATGTGAAGGGAGCTCCTGATGTAAAAGGGGAACTTTAATTTGAAGGGGGAGGGGGACTCTCATATGAAAATGGGGCTTCTGATGTAAAGGGTAACTCTGATGTGAAGAGGAGGATCTTGATTTGAAGGGGGCACTTCGATGTGAAGGGGACACCCACTTTTTTGTGTGGGGTCCTCCTCAAAATCTATGCTATTTTAGACTGAAGTGCTTCAAGCTTTTGCATATTTTTAAAGCGTACCGCGAATAAAAAAAGATTAGAAAAACGCAGTATTTGCTTAAGCACACAGTCTTGGCAATAAAGTGATTATTGTTATTAAAGTGTACGTAAAGTTAAATTGTAGGTTTCCATCTTCAACCCTACCTTTCCACGCGGCTGCCCTATTCTAAACCTGCAAAAAAAAAAAAACATTACACACACTTAAAGTGCAACTCAAGCCCAAACTTTTTTTTTTAGATTTAGATACAGTGGAGAGGGATTAGAACACCTGTCAGGTTTTTATTGCTGTCCTGTTCCCTGTTAGTGAGATTCACCTTATCTGTCCTGGTCACTGTTATCAGTGAAAGTGAAAGAAAATCCCACCCGGACACAAGACACTCAGTTGCATTTTCTGGCAGATGCAGCTGCTGAGGTCCTCGGCAAGCGCAATCTCGGGCAGCCGCATCTGCCTGAAACCGGATCTTCCTCTGAGTTGTGGGCAGCCTGTGCCTGTTTACAGGTGCCCGCAGCTCAGAGGAAGGGCCGGGTGGCAAACCCGCTGCAGCAGCGCAGCGCCAGCCTGGAATTTACTGCAGGGACTCACAGCAGGGCCATCCCTGGAGGGTGGAGCCCAGTATTCCAGCAGCAAGTGACAGCTGGCCCCGCCCACTACGGGGAAGCTGCCAGGATGAGGGCCCAGTCACACCATCAAGAGTGCGTTCCAGTGTGTTCGGTTTCTGGAACGCAACCCGGCTGGCTCACATTGTTTTAAGGCGGGAGGGGGCTTGGCAGGGCAGTGAACTCAATGGCACCGCAGCCACGCCGCCGTGCGATTGCCGGCACCCAAGCGCGTGGGACTTTGGTGCTTGCATTCTGCTCCAGTGCTATCTGCAAAAAATAGTGCATGCAGCATTTTTTGCAGATCGCACTGGACCGGAACGCACTGGAACAAACAGGGCCCTGAAAGTCACACAGATGATAGCCATGCCCCCAGAGTGACAAGCAAACACAGGGTACCGCCCACTCCACAGCTGTATGGTATGTATACTGACGCGTATACAGAGGCGTATCTAGAAACCCCAGGGCCCCAGTGCAAGAAACCATTGAGGCCCCCCCCCCCCAAAAGGCAGAACGCCAGTGCCCGTTCGCAATTGCGACCACTGTGACCCTGTTAGTTCCGTCAATGACTATAGCCCAGACATCCTGAGAGCCCGCACAGCCCACCAGGACACCTGAAGACATCAGGGCCCAACCCAGAACAGCACAGAGTATGTAGCCTCATATTATTTTGTAGTGCTGTATAATGTATTGCTGGGATTTGTAGTCCTCTATAGCTGGTCTCCTTACTCCCTCCCCTGGCTGCCTCTCCTTGCTCTCTCCTCTTATTTTCTCAAAACAAAAAATAATTGCTGTTCGCAGCGCTAGAGTGTTTGGGTTTCACTTGAAGAAAAGGTGGCAACCCTAACTTGTATGCTGCAACTTATGTAAATAGAATCCCCTTATTTATAACAGAGCTAGTAACATGACTCGGTGTGTTTTTATGAGGTGGAAAATGTCTGGTTCCTGTTATGTCCTGGCAGCATTGCTCTGCCAGGAGGGACATGAAGGAGTAGAAAGGTTTGTGTGTCTGCTTCAGCTGTTCTCCATGTTGGGGAGGGGGAGAGGCCTGCAAACCTCATACTTCTGTCATATACAGAGGTTGACATCCCCTCAGGTCTTGTCTTGTCTGCATGGCAAGGCGTCTCCCTGACACAACCTGACAGAAAAGAAGACTTCAATGAAGAATGGCCGCGAGCTTTATACCCGCACATAGAATTCAGCTTCTAACATAGGAGGAGCTGCACATTCATACTGGGCTGGGCTGGTAATGTACGAGATAGAAAGATCAGACGGTAAAATACCCGGAATGACAGCCAGGGAGGGTCTGACATGACTGCCAGTTACTGGGGAGAGCCAGGGAGTGTCTGCTATAGAGACAGCCCCAGGGAGGGTCTGACACACGGCCAGGGCAGGGAGGAGACTGCAGAGACAACTACACAACAGCACGACGGCTGAGAGTGCGATCTGCAGGACACGGGGGACCCTCACTGACACTAACAGGGGGCTACTGCACAGGTAGGCGCTATAAGTCCCCAGGGGATCCGCGCTGGGCGCTCCCTCTATTGTGGCAAAGTTGGAGGGAGTGGCTGTACAGTGATGGGACGGGGTCGCAGAGCCAGGGGAAGTTGCACTGATCTGACTAGACGACCTTCCTAATTTCCTTTCATGTTGTGTATCAGTGTGTGTGTGTCCGATCATTGTATGAAAATTATAGTTATATACAGGAGTCATCTGCACCTAGGAAGAAGCCTTTCACTCTTTTCTTTCTTCTCTCTTTCCCTTAACTCTCTCCCCCTTCTCCCTCTCTCTCTTTTCCCCTTTTCTCTCTCACCCCCTTAACTCTCCCCCTTCACTCTCTCTGTCCCACTTATCTCTCTCCCC